CACTTGCTTCCTCAAATGCTTCTTGATTTTCATGGGCCCTCTCCCTCCAGGAAGCCCTCCTGGTTGTTCCAGCCCACACAGATTACCAGCTTTGAACTCTTACCAGCCCTGCCAGTAAGTCAGAACCACAGGCCTCCCCTACTTGACTCCTCTCTGAGTCTGGTCTCTACTGGTTCTTCTTTCTAGTCTCCCTGCAGTGTGGACAGCATAAGCCACAGATGCACGGGGCTGGGTAAGTAAGGACCAGGTGCTCAACTGGAGGGTCAGGTGATACCAGGCTTTCCAGGGCCCACAAGGTTTCCAGCTGTGCTGCGAGGACAGGCAGAGGGGCATGGCAGCCTCCTGTTCCTTCCTTTGACTCCTCTGGGCCTAGAGCAGAGAAGGGGAAGGGAGAGGCGGAGGGAAGCTGCGGTCGGTTGGAGGCCCAGCCCCACCAAAGGGTGCAAAGCTTATGTGAAGCTGATGAGAAGCTGTCCCCCTCGCAGAACCTCAAAACCAGGAAGAGAAACTGAACAGACAGAAAAAGCGAGCTGAGCTGCCTGGGGGCACTTCAGCCCCTGGGGACCAGCCTAGGGGTGTGCCTCAGGTATGATCTGGATAGTCCTGAACAACCCACTTTTCTCTCTGGGCCTCAGTTTCCCTATGGAGAAATGGAATTCTCTATTTGGTTTTGCTACTCCACCCCTAATTGGTGCAGTCTGCAACTAATTCTGCTGCATGGCACCTGATTACCAAGCACCCAATGGGTGGATCACTCCTGACTTCCTGGTGGGCTTTGGCCCCTCCTGGAGAGCAGAGGCTTGGCCCCAAGGCCAGCCTCTCCCTGCTCACTGCTTCCCTCAGCCAGGCAGGGAGCACACCAGCCCTTCCTTCACTAGCTCTTTATTTTTAGGTCTCAATTTGACTTTAATCATTACTTAGCGGATTCTATTTCCAGCCCTCAGATGGAGGGACCCAGAGGAGAGGAGGAAGGCAGGCAGTGCTCCCTGCCTGGTGTTGGGGGCAGCCTGCTCCTCCACCCATCCTGTCCCCCAGCCAAGGAGGGAGAGGACTGAGAAAACACCCAAAGGGCTCATTCCAGCCAGGCCGCCATCGTGGGGAGGACCCCACCCTGTGACCTCATCCCAGCCCAAGCTGTGGGACAGGGGGGCAGCTGTAATGCCCACTTCCCCTGCAGCAGGAACAGGAGAGAGGGAGCACCTCTTAACCAAAAGCCTGGCGTCACTGGCCTGAGGGGCCTCTACAGTGAATTGGCCACCTGGAGGAGGACCCTCTGCCTAGGTTAGTCCCAAGCCACCCATAGGATCATCTGGGGCTAAGGTCCCTTAGGCCCAGGAGTGCCAAGTTGGGACTAGTTTTTTTCCCACTGTCCATGGTATAGCCCCAGGAGGCCCCTCCCAGTTACTGTGGTCTCCACAGAAGGCAGAGCAAGAAGCAAGGTGATTCGCAGCAGTACACACTCAAGTTAGACCTAGGTGACACTTGCCGAACAGGATACTAACGCACAAAACGTCCCCACAGACTGCAGACCTTCTAAGTTCCCTCCCAACTCCCAACTGGGAGGCCCTAGAATCCCCCAGCTTTCTTCCTTCCTCTGGCCACTGGGAAAGGAAGGGAAGATGAGCTGCCATGGCTGACTCGAGATTGGGGCTCAGGATGCCCAAGTTCCCAGCCTAGGTCTCAGTTTCGTCAGGGGGCTAAATAAGGCTCTATTCCCCCTGGGGAAAAGCTGGGCTGACCTAGGAAGTAGCCAAGCTGGGAGGCAGGAGGCAGCAGGCTCTGGGAGAAGAGGCCTAGCCTGCTCAGCTGTGAGGCTGGGAGACCGGAAGACAGGGCGGGGTCAGGCCCCGGAAACTAGCCCTGTGCCCAAGGTCCTGAGCCAGCCAATCACACTGTGATGAGGACAGGGAGGCAGGGTGGCAGGCAAGGCATCGGCCACAGTAACCTAGAATCTCAGAGCCAGAGGGTTTCAGAGGGGCTTCCCAGTCAGGGAGGGCCACCCCTCCGTTCTGCTGAGTGGGAGGCTGGCCAACCTCTGCCCTGTGTAGGATGTCAAGATAGCTCATGGTGGGCATTCCTTCAACAATGCTAAATGCTTCTTACAAAGAGCCTACTAGAGGCCAGATATGCCTGGCACATTCTAGTACCTGGTTAGTTATCAGCTCACACTCCCTCTGAAGCTAGTATCACCATCCCTGGTACGCATATAAAGAACTCTAGCTCAGAGGGCCAGTGACTTGCCCAAGGTCTCTCTACCCTGGACTAAATGGCATGGCTGGGCCTGGAACCCATGTTTGCTGCGTGCCAACTCACCTACTCTCTCCAATACTCCTGGCTGATATCTGAGCCTACAGTAACCACCACAACAGCGACAGATGGAAAACTATGCACAAGCTCAGTAACAGGGTTTGGCCTAAGTTGTTGAGGCAGAGCTATTTCGAATATTTTGTAGCTTTTTAGTTGAAAAGTTACTTAGATCAGGGAATACACCGCATAGTATTAAACAGTGTCATGGCATATACAGGAGGAAGAAAAAAAGAGTCAGGAAAAGACTGGCAAGAAATTCCAAAATGTCAGCAGTCACTTTGCCAGGTTAAGAAAGAGTGGGCGACTTTGGTTTTCTAAATTTTCTCTAGTGCCATTTTGTTACTTTCTAAATTCTCGAAATTAGTCCATGCTGGTTTTCTTATAGTGAATTTGCCTCCCTGGGGTCTGTTTGCCCTCCAGCTCTGGTCCTGGTGTCTGGCATCCTGACAAATGACACCTGTCTCTTCTGTCATGGGACAGCCTCTTAGATTGGAACAACCCCCAGCCATCTAAGAATTATGACCAATGTTTGCTCTCTACGTCTTCTTCCCAAGCCAAACATCCTATTCTTTGGGCACTGGGTGTCAAACTTTCAAACTCCCTCAAAAGATGGAACCCAGAATTGGACCCACGCTGTCCTGCCGATCAGGCCACCCAGGTGGATCAGGTCACCTGGTGGCTTGTAAGGCAGCCACGTTACTGTGATCTCGGACCTCAGCCCCTGATGATGCTTGTTTGGGGAAAGTTCAACTCTGTCTTTTTCCAATACTTGCTGCGGAGCACTGCATGGTGTAGCTCAACCTCTCTGGGCCTGGTGCCCCTTGCAATGGTGCTGGAGACATCTTCTGGTACTTTCTTGTCCTCGACCCAATGCACAGATTAGAATAGCTAATTTGGTGTAGGAGGAAGGTACTAAGTTCACCAAGAAAAAAATGTATCTCTGCACATGTGCTAGCCTAAAGCCAGACTTCTTACCACAAAGGCCTTGGGACCCTGTGCCTCACCCTCACAGCCCAGAGTTGGTTAAAAAAAAAAAAAAAAAAAAAAGCACCCAACCATGTCCAACCCCAGCCCCAATCCTTCAGGCTGGAAAGGAAATTAAGGCTGGGTGAGGGAAGCCTCGTAGGCCCACGACAGCTAGGTCCCCTCCACTGAGCATTATCAGGTCAACAGGAAAAAACTCTTAAACCAAGGGCAGGGGGCTCAAGCAGGACAAAACAGCAGTGGTCTTAAGGAGGCCCAGGCAGGGTTCAGCATCCTCCAAGTGACCTCCACCCCCTACCCCTTCCAACCATACTCCCACTTCACTCCTGCTGCCTTTGCTCTGTTCCTGCTGCAGATACAAGTTTGATACTGGGTACAGATAGGGGAGCTTGGAACAAGTCCTGTGGATGTTCCTAACATGACAATACCCCCATGCCAAGGATGTAAGGCCACTGCCAGTGGTGACAGGGCTCTCACCTTCTCCATCCTGTTCCCACTCATGTTCTGAACTTGAATATGCTCCTGTGCCATCTGGGCTAAGGAGGTAGGGAGAGAGGGAGAGCTGGGTTTAGACTGACCATTAGACTATTGCAGTTCAGGGCTAGATGCCAGGACCCAGGCATCCTCACTGCACCACACAGGTGCCCACTCACCTCCACCGCATGCCCTGCCAATGGCACCCAGCCTCAGGCATCAAGGGGAAAAGCCATGGGCAGTGCTGATGGTGCCTGAGCTGGGGCCGGAAGCCCTCTCCCTCCTCTGACTTCTGCTGGGGAGCACGTGCTCACCTAAAACACTCACCCCACATGGTCCTTCCTGGGCCAGGGTGGAGGCCTGCATCTCTGGAGTTTAACTGGGCCTGCCTGACTCCCTTCCACCCACAACAGCCCAGTTCTATAGAACTGGGGATGAGAAGACAGCTAGCCTAACTCTCTGACAGGCCTGGGATAACCACTTCCCCTCTGAGCCTCAGTTCCTGGTCTGTAAAATGGGCAGGGGAAGCGAACCCCTAGTAGGCTCCAAGGATCTGGTCACTGAACACGCCCCTTCCTGACACCTGGCCTGGGCCCTGAAGAGAATGGAAAAATGGGCTGACCTGACTGGGTTGACCAGGCTGCCTGGAGGCTGGGGCATATTGTCATCTCCACCCAGGAGCAAGGCCTATCCAATTTCCCTACGCAAGGGTCAGAGGTACCTTGGCTTAGGCATGGTTTTCTGGGAGGCTGAGGATCACAGGTTCAATTCTAGGACCTGGACCTCTGGCAGTGCTCTAGGGAGCTAGAGCGGTCTCCCAAGGGAAGAGCCAGAGGGGTCAGACCTAGGCAAGCCAAGACACCTACAAGGAGTTCCAGGACAGGGAAGGAAACACTCCCACTAGTGCAGCTTATTCTCCAGGGCCTTGGCCCATGTCGGCCCTCTCCCTCCAGGCTCCAGCCACCTCTCCTCACTCTGAGCTCCAACCAAGGCAACTCGGAGTACCCTGGGACAAGTCTGTGGGGCTCGCAGGCCAGTGCCTCCCTTGGCACACCCCTCCCAATCCAGTTCTGACAGTGACTCCCTGGAGAATTCTAACCCAGGAAGGCGTAAAGGGTGGGGGATGGGAAATGGACGCGGCGGCGGCGGCAAGAGAAGCGGGATGTGGACCTCCACTTTCCTCCCTCCCGGGGACACTCAGACGGTCGCTTTCTCCTGGGTTGCCGGGCACTCACCTCTCTCTGGGCGTTGCGGTCCGAGCCACCTCGCCGCGGGAGGCATCAGCGGCCTGCGGGGCGGTCCATGCGGCCAGGGGGGAGGGGAGGGGCGCGGGAGCCCCCGGGGGGTGCGGTACAAAGAGGTATGGGTGCGGAAAGAAGGGGAGGAGGGACGGCCAGATCGAAGCAGGGGGATGGCCGCGCGGCCCGGATCGGGGAGGGAAGAAAGGCGGGGGAAGGGGGGCGGGAGGGAGTCGGGGGGAGGAAACAATGTAGCCGGCGCGGCCCCGGCAGAGTTCCGCTTCCGAACGCTGCCGCCACGGTTCGATTTTGGAACGTCGCGCCCGCTGCCCCGGGCCGCCCCAGACGCTCGATCCGGGACCGCGGGGGCTCCCCGCGCTCCACGCCCCGGAGGCTCCGGCGGCCACAGGATAGCTAGGGCGGGAGGGAGAGCTGACCAGGGGACGGCCCCGACGGTGTTGTGGCCGGGCGGTCGCCCCGCTCGGGCTCCACCCCGGCAGGACCCCCGGGGCAGGGCGCGGGGTGGGGCGGGAGCGGTAGGGCGGCGACGGTCTTAGCCGCTGCGCCCAAACTCGGCTCGCCCCGGGCTCCGCTGGGAGGAAGCTCGCAGGCCTGGCGAGAGGAAGCGCGGCCCGGATCCTCCGCCCGCGGCAGCGCGCCTGCGCGAGGGGGCCTGCCGGGCGCGCGGCGGGGCGTGGGCCGGCTAGGCGGCGCCCACTGTCGGGCGCTGGGGGCACTGCGGGGGGTGTGTCTGCGCCCACGCCCTGCCCCCACCTGCCTGTCTGCGTTGAGGCGCCCAAAGGACCCTCCCAAAAGGCTGACCACCCATCTTTGGAGCAAGCGCTGAGCCTTCCCTGGGCCCATCTCCTCCAGTGTTGAAGTGATGGAGGGCAGGCCTGGATTCTCTCTGTGGGTTCTTATCTGTGGGAAATGGGCCCCATTCATAGTAAGCATTCATTTATACGTTCACAAACACTTCCTGGCGCTCACAGCGTGCCAGGACCTTTTTTGGGGTCTACTAAGAGCCCTTCATTGGTGTCGGTCGAGGTGGGGGAGACTGACATGCCAAGAGATAATCTCAAAGAAGTAATTTATGAAAGTGGTGAGGTGATGTACAAGGTCCACAGGAAGCCGACAAGGAGGGAGGACTAAGGGGGAGACTTCACAGCTTAGGACGCCACGCAGAGAGAACAGCGTGGACAAAGGCAGGGAGAGGTAAGAGAGTGGTGGTTTCTGGGAAATATAAATAGCTCCGTATGGCTGCAGCTTGCAGTGCGGGTTAGAGAGTAGTGGGAGAGAAGGTCTGGGCAAGCAGCAGGGGCAAGAGAGATTACAAAGAGTCTTGTGGGACTTTCTCAAACTTTATTTTCAGCCAGGACATAATGAGGAAGTTGTTAGTAGCTGTGTGACCTTGGGCAAGTTACTTAAAGTCGCTGTGATTTCAGATTCCCCATTTGATCAAACAAAGAAAATAATAGCAGTAACTTCTTAGGGTTTTGTGGGGAAGAAAATGAGTTAATCCATTTCAAGTGCTTAGGCTGCAATGGCTGGAACATAGTGAGCCCTCAGTTAAGTGTTGGCTATTATTATATATCATTGTTAATGGCAGAAGCAGGGAGGTAACCTGCTCTGAGCCATAGATCAGATATTTCGTGCTGGGGTGGGGGTGTGGCATGAAGTGATGGGGGAGACCAGAGATGCCAGTGTAGGCAGGAGGAGTTGAGGCACTCTCTAGGGACTGGGCCATAAAGGAAGGGTCAGGCTTGAGTGGGCAGAGAGGAGGGGGCATTCCTGGGAGTTGGGGGAAAATGAGGCTTGCTGGCAAAGTCTTGGAACCCAAAGTAAGTATGGAGGGGCCAAAGGAGTATCAGGGACAGTAAAAGGCTCTTTGGGAGAGACAGCTGGGGAGACATTGTGGTTGCAGATTGCTATGAGCCTTAAATGCCAGGAACGAGAATTGGGTGTGCCCCTCAGACCCACCACAGGTTGTCCCTCTACAGCCCTGGGCCAGTGTCTCAGCAAGGGGCTGGCCTTATGAGAAGGAAAGCAGCAGTAACACCCCTACATTTTGAGGATAAGTCCAGTAAGTCTCAGATAGTTGTGCTGTAGTGGAAAAAAAGCATAGGTTTTGCGTACAAATCTCAAGATTAAATCTTGGCTCGGTCACTTGGTAGCTATGCAACTTTGGACTAGTTACCTAAGGTCTCTGAGCTCAGTTTACTCTTCCATAAGATCAGACTCAGACTATAGCTCTCTCACACAAGTCTCTCAGGAGAGGTGGTACAGATTCAGCAAAATAAAGGCCTCAGATGGGAGGGTGCTCAACAGGTTGATTTCTTTCTTTCCTCTGAAGTTGAGATTGAGATGGAATGATAATGTGCGGGCTGGATGGGGGCCCCCTCTCCACCAAGGTCATGAAAGTTCTCCTGTAGCTCTGCAAAGATTTTTAGGAGGGAGAATTAACATCTCTTTTTTTTTTCTAGTTTTTTTTTTTTGTTTTTTTTAAAGTCTCCTCCTCTAAGGAGCTCTGGTAGTATGGTAAAGCATTTGGCCCTTAACCCACCAGCTGCTCTGTGGAAGAAAGATGAGGCAGTGTCCTTCCATAAAGATTTACAACCTAGGAAGCCCTGTGCGACCATGAGTTTTTTGTTTGTTTTTGGTTTTCTTTCCCTGCTGAATCTGCTAGCAGGATGGGAAAGAAAGGACTGTTGGGATTTGTGGGAGATGCCCCAGTTTCCACACAGGCTTTGTCACCAACCCATCTCTATCCCCCTGACCCCAAACACACTTGACTCTCTTCCCTGGGTGTGCTGTGGCCCAGAATGTGAACTTTGGAGTCAAATAGACCAGCATTTGAATCCTGGCTCCACCTCTCTGCAGCGGCATGACATAAAAATTTTAACCTCTCTGAACTCCAGGCACTGGTGATAAAACCAGGAACAAATTGATCATGGCCTTGTCCCACAGAGCTCTCTTCCCTCTAGTGAAAAAATCAGACAATTAACTTCCAACCATACTTCTCATTCATTCATTTATTCATTCAACAAATATTGATTGAGCACCTACTAAGTGCTAGGTGCTGTCCTGGATGCTAGAGATGAAGGAGTGAACAGGACTACCACAGTGCTTGCCCAAGGGAATAAATAAATAAACAGGGTCATTAGACCCCGTGTTATGAAGGAAGTGAGCAGTAGGGAGAGGTGAGGCACTGAGCTGGGCTTTCAGATCCAGGAAGGGAGTAAGCCAGTACTTGGAGGAGTGAGGGAGAGTACTGCAGGCCCAAGAAACCCAAACATATTGCTAGAGTTGAGTCAACTCCTACTCATAGCGACCCTATAGTACAGAGTTTCATAGGGTTATTCAGGTGTAATCTTTATGGAAAGTAAGACTGCCACAACTTTCTCCCTTGGAATGACTGGTGGCTTCGATCTACTGAATTTTCCCTTACCACTGTGCCATCAGGGCTCCTGGCAAAGGAGACAGGGAGGTTAAAGATCTGAGGTAGTAAAGGGACAGCCCGAGGGCCAATGGGATAGCTCAGCTAGCTGGGGACAATGGAAGTGAGGAAGATGGCAGGGGCCAGATCCTGCAGGGCTTGAGCTCTAGGAATTATCTTATACGAATTTGGATTTTATTACATGAACAATGTGGAGCTGTTGAAGCACTTTAAACAGGGGAGTGATAAGATCTGAGGCAACTTTTTATTTGCATTTTTTATTTCTTACAGGTTTGATCAAACTTTTAAAAAATGTATTTTTTTTTGTTGTTGTTGTTGTTGAAAATATGCACAGTAAAAATACACCAATTCTACTCAGCCAGGAGGAGAAATTCAGTCTTGATACATGCTACAATATGGTTGGAACTGGAGGACATTGTGCTGAGCGAAATAAGCCAATCACAAAAGGACAAATATTGTATGGCCTCACTTATATAAAAAGACCAGAATGTAGAGAGAACAAAGAACCAAATGTATAGAGAACAAAGTTTATTAGTGGTTACCAGGGACCGGAGGGAAGGAGAACTGGAGGGTTAAGTGTGTGGGCGGGAGACTGGAAATACTGTATTAATTAGGGGTAGGGTTGAACAGCTGATTATTGTAATTGCTGTCAATAAGTTGCCCACCTGTAAAAAGCTGAATTGGCAAAAGTGTATCAACAAAGCCAAAAAAAAAAAAAAGAGTAGCTACGGAGTCGTACAACCTCATGGGATTTGTTTCCTTCGTTTGGAGGTTTAGGGTGACGGTTTCATGGGACATGCCAGTTAATTAGCCTAATAGCATGTTTAGTGCTTCTGTTCTACCTCTTAGTTCATTGTATAGTGCCTGGGGTCTTAAAAGCTTGTAAGGGGCCATCTAAGGCACAAGGGTTGTTTTCTGTTTGCCTTGGAACAACAGAGGAAGAAACCTAAAGGTCAGTGGTTCCAACCCACCAGCTGCTCTTGGGGAGAAATGGCAGTCTGCTTCCATAAAGATCACAGCTTTGGAAACCCTACACAGCAGTTCTACTTTGTTCTACGTGAGTTGGAATCAACTTGACAGCAATGGAGTAGGGGTATACGCAATACAACACTCTGCTGTCGAGTCAGAGCTGACTCATAGTGACCCCTCCTTGGGTTTCCGAGGCAGTGTCACTACGGAAGTAGATTTTTCCAACCTTCCTTCTGAGGAGTGGCTGGTGGATTTGAACCACCAGCCTTCTGGTTAGCAGTCAAATGCCTTAGACATTACGCCACCAAAGCTCCCAGAGTTGGGGGTATAGATAGTTCTTTAAGAGAACACAGTACTCAATGCAGACCTTCTTTACTAATTAAGCTAAACTATTGTTTGGTTTAAAGAGCACTGATGGCACAGTGGTTAAGTGCTCAGCTGCTAACCAGAAGTTTGTCGGTTTGAACCCCTAGCCGCTCTGAGGAAGAAAGATTTGACAGTCTGCCTACAGCAATGGGTTTGCTCATTTTGGTTATTGTTTGGTTTAAAGAAGACTTCAGGTGATAGTTTGGGTTAAGATTTTAAAATGATCTCAGGGCAATAGTTTCAAGAGTTCATCCAGCCTCAGTGGCTCCAGACAATCTGGATTCCATGAGAATTTGAAATTCTATTCCATATTTCCCTCTCCCTCCCCTTTTGAATCAGCATTCTTCTATAGAATCTTTGAATAAAATACTGCAGCATGTTTTTAAAAGATCTCTCTGGTTGTTGTGGGGAGTAAAGCGGGTATTAGTGAAGGCCAAGAGATCAGACAGGCCAGTGATGATGGGTGAGGGCTTCGATGGAAGTAGTGAGGACAGAGGAAAGAGGGTGGACGTTGAAGAGTCAAGTGACAGCTCTCGGTAATAGGCCATGCATGGAGAGTGAAGCCATAGGAGAAATCAGGCTTGACTTCTGAAGGGTGAAGGGCGGTGCCTTTCACTGAGATGGGGAGGGCGTCTGGAGGAGAGCAGTCTGGGTGACACTCAGGAACTGGATTTTGGACCAACTAAGTTGGAGATGCCTATTAGACATGGAAAGGTCAAGTTTGAGTTTGAAACCTTGTTTTACAGACAATGATTGAGGCTCAGCATATAAGAATTTTCCTCTGTCCCATCACCAGGATTTGGATTCAGGCCTGAAGGTCTTAAGGGTATTAGGATTTTGGAGG